ATTTCAGGCCTGTCTGATTCTTCATGACCCCACTCAATGTTTTCTTGGCAGAGTTACTGGAGTGGTTTGCCATTTCCCTCTCCAGCTCATTTTACAGATGAGGAATCGAGGCAAACTGGGTTAAATGACTTGTTCATGGTCACATAGTTAGTGCCTGAGGCCAGATTTGAACTCTGGTCTTCCTGACTCCAGGCCCTCACATTCTATCTACTGCACCACCTAGCTGCCCTATATTGAAATTATGGTTGCCTAATTTGAAACGACAACAACAAACCAGCCACCTAGCTCTGGTTAAAAAAAAAAAAAAGATTGAAAAGCCATATAATCATTGCTTACATTTACACAGGGCTTTATAATTTATAAAATACTATCCCCACAATGCCATGAGGTGTGTAGCGTGATTATCATCTCCATTTTACAGATTTGGAAACAGAAAATGACATGATCATTTCAAATTAGTGGCAGAACTTAAGACTGCATCCCAGTTTTCTGAGTCCCAAGTCTAATGCTCTTCCTACTATACCAGTATGGCCTCTCCCATATACGCTAGGTTAGGGGAAAAAATGAAGTCTACACATATATGAAAGTGATCTAACATGCTGTCCATGTTAAACAAATGTAGAATAAGAAAATGTCACTGACTAAGGAGCCACCATTTAGAGCCACGCTAAATAAGATAGGTTAAGTGATCTTGTCGGTATTTTTGGTTGGCACCTTCTTTGCAACTCCGAATCTGGAGAGTTACTTGAGGCCCTGAGGTTTTAAGTGACTCACCCAGGGTCACACAGCCACCATTGTGTCTGAGGCCAGATTTAGGGCTGAGTTTTCTTGGCTCAAGGTCAATACTCGATCCATCATATCATGTTGCCTCTTGATTCGTAACTAGGTGGAAATGTGGTACATTGGAATGAGCTCTGGGCTTTGAATCCAAGACCAGCCTCAAACTCTAGCTTTTACCACTTCCTCAGCTATGTGACGAGCAAATCCCTTGCTGATTCTGAGCTGAATTTCTTCAGTTTTAAAATGAAGATAATATTGACATTTACCTACCAACTTCCCTCTGTTGTGAGGAATCACACTGTAACGTGCTACAGAAATGTGCGTTATCATGAACTGTTCTGCCAAGATCGTCACACAGCCTGGAGCTTCTCTTGCTATTCCTAGACATGAGCATGGAGTCCATGAATATAAATACTGCAAAGAGCCCTGGACTTGGTATCACAGTATTGTGATTTGAATATTGCCTCTGCTACTTGCTTGGATGTATGTCCTTGGATGGTCCCTTCATCTTTCTAGGCTTCAGTTTCTGCATCTGTAAAATGAAGGGGTTAGATTGGGTCAGGGGTTCTCTGGGGTCCCCTTAGCATTTATGGATAGATTCAGGGGGTCCATGCATTAGTTAAAAAAATGTTTTTTTGATAACTGCATTTCAATATAACTGGTTTCCTTTGTTAACCTTAAATATTTTATTTTGTGCATTTAACAGTTTGTGAACACAAGTTTACTTGATGAAATCAGCAAAGTTGAAATAGAGGAGACACATTTTTCCATAACGTGGGCTATAATTATCTGGTGGAAATAACTGTGGTGAGGCATTGAGATGTTCAGGAAATCAGCTTTGTAAGATTTAAAGAAGAATTAAATAGTTCCAACTAGTATTAGGAGACTGGGAAATGGAAGAACTCATTTTTAAAAGTATGAGGGTTGGAAGATTTTTGCAGTAATAGTAATTCCAGCACACACGTGTATGGCATGGGCTGTTTCGGGGAGGAGAAGGGTTTGAGGGGTTTCAACCAGATCTGTGATTTTACTGGTACTAGGAATTGCAGAAAAGGAAACTCCCTTTAGCAAAGTTGATAATAATATGGCTAACATTTATATAGTGCTTTAAGGTTTGCAAAGTATTTTATAAATATTATTTCATCTTATCCTCACCATAACTCTGGGAGGCAGGTGTTATTTATTATCTTCATTTTACAGATGAAGAAACTGAGGCAATAGAGATTTAAGTGACTTGTCAGGGTCCCACAGTTGGTAAGTGTCTGAGGCTAGGTTTGAACTCAGACCTTCCTGACTCCTAATCCATTGCTCTTATTAATCTGATGGCCTCTTAAGTTCTCAGATCAGCATTTCTCTGCAGCTAAGTCTTAGAAGGTGGTCTGAGTCATTAAGAGGGTGATTTATCTAAGATCACATACTAAGTGTGTGTCAGAAGGACTTGAACTGCCATCATCTTGACTCTGAGGCTGGCTTTCTCTCTACTAAGCCATACCACCTCTGTATGACAGCTATGCTTGACAGAGCATGATCCACACAGCTGTGAGATAGTTATAAGCTGCAGAGATATGGCTGGAGCTTGATTTCTAATTGGGAGCTTTTTCAAATACACTAGGGTGCTCTTTGTAATGGAGCTCTAGGAAGAGTGGTGGGACACATAAAATGCAGGGGGAGGACACCGTTTGTAACCTTATCTGGGGATAAGGATTCTCCCTTACTGCCTCGGCCATTTCTCTATACTGGCCTTCTCTCCACCAACGGCCCTGGGTAACTGAGCTGTTGATCGCCTTTGAGCCCATTAATGGCAGCTTTAATTGGCTATCATATCGTCATTGGTGATCCTATACTGATTGACAGTTCAGCCAGCCAGTGATAGGGGACCAACGAAAGATGGAGGAACTCCCCCCCCCTCCATGTCCTCTCCTTCCTTCTCCTTTCCACTAAATCAGCACAAAACAGAGGTCTCGGGAAGCAGACTGATAATGCAAACTGCTTCCCTTATGAAAATGCTAAGAGCAACAAGGAACCCTCCACAAAACTTAGATACCAACTGCTTCCCTACCCAAGCCTCAGATAGCAACTCCGTAACTCAGATAACCATCTGCTTAGTGTTGATTTTGCCGTTTCATGAGTGACTGGAAGGGAGTGGAGAGGGTGGGAATAGGACAGAAAGGATGACTTCTAGTTGGAGCCCAGACCTCTAAAGCCCCAGAGTGGTTAAAGCACTGGTCCTCACTCAGGGCCATCCTATTTTAGAGACTGAGTGGGAAGTTCCCTACACGATATAAGTTGAGGGGGCTGGGAAAGCTCCACTACCTAAAACACCATCCTCATTCTCCAACCAAGCTACAGCTGAACATGAAACTCCACCATCAGAGGAATCCTTGTTACTCTGGACTATTTAGCCAGTATAAGCTCACAATATATAGAAACGAAGAAGGACTTAATAACCACCAGAGGAATTCAGCAATGTAATGAGGCTGCTTTGGGAGGTAATGAGTTTCCCATCACTAGGCAAATGTATTCAAGCCACAACTGGATGACCTAGCAATAAATCCGGGTTCTGCTGCTTATTGTCTGTGACACCTTGGGCAAGATGTCTTGCCCCTCTGGGACTTGTTCAGTTTCATCATCTATAAAATGAAGGCATTTGAGCAGGTGCTATCTAAGCCCCTTTACACCCCCAAATCCTACACTTCCACGGGCCCATTGTGGTCCTCTGTTCCCTTGCCCTGCCTTTCTCAAATACCTCTCTCCATACCTCCTAAAGGCAGGTTGGCAAAGCAACCTTTCTAGAATTTGTCTGCCTCTGGGGTGCCTTTGGCCTCCATTACAGTTCTCCCTTTCTGAAAGGAGAAGTGGGTCTATTAACAGATTGATTTCTGATCACATGACAGCTTCAGAGGTGTTTAATGTGAGGAACAGAAAAGACAGGGTGAGGCCCCTATTACAGCCTGACAACAGAACAGCCTCTAAATCCTTGATGTTGGGACAGAACAAGATAAAGGGTCCCTAAGCCATCATTGTCAGGCATTGGAATAAGGTTAGCTTTGTAAGGTAGGTTAATAATCACCATGAAGACACAGAGTCTTTCAGAGGAAAGCCGGGCTTCCTCACAGTCACACCTGGAAAATGAGCAGCATTTTTAGGAGGAAAATTCATCTTGGGGGGGAAAAAAAGTGGAATGTGATATACAAAGCAAACTGTCTGATGATCAGTTGTGACAGCCTAAAAGAACATTCCGGGCTGTGAAAACTGATATTTACAATGTCATTCAAAATTAGGCAACATGAAACTTCTTGCCTCCAAACTCTACACATGGGAAATGAAACTGTAACACGCCATAATATCCCCTCCAATTTGTCTAGATAATCTATAATTTCCCCCTTGTATATTCTATGTTCTAGCCAAAGTGGGATGACTGAAACTATCCCCTGAAGATACCTCACTTGGAGCTCTTCCCATTCATTCACAGTGACCAGCACATCTAGAATGCTGCCCTCCCGCCTCATCTGTCTGTTGCTATCCTTTCCATCTTCCCAGGACCAGCTCACGAGTCACGTTCTCCATGAAACCATACAGATGCCCTCAAATTGTGATTTCCCTAAGCCTCAAGCGAGCTCTACCTCTCTACTCCTATGCACTTAGCACATTCCAGTTTGTACCATAGTTATCTAAGTTATCTAGCTATAGTTATCTGTCTTAACTCCCCTATTAGCATAGTGCCATGGTAGGTGATTAAAAACTTCATGTTGATTGAATGACTGATCATTAAATTAGAAATTTCTTGCCAAAATGGCCAGAGTCTTACCAACCTTTGTATGTCCTATGAGGCCCAGAATAAGGCTTTGCACATAGTGTGCAAAGCTGAACACTTGGGTCCCAGCCCTGCCATCAGGTGACTTTCGGCAAGTCATTCCTTTCTTGGGGGTCTCGATTTCTTCTGCAGACTGGAAAGCCTTGAATCAGATGATCTCTAAGTCCCACTCTAGTTTGAACACCCAATGCTTTATAGACTAACATTCCACATGCTGGGCTCTAAGGGCCCTTCCAGATTTAACATTCAATGACTCTCAAATTCTGTTTGGTGCTTAATAAACATTAAATAAATGAGTGATGTTCTAGAGCTAAAAACTGCTAGGTATTGGCATTATCGTGCTTTTTGAAAAAGAAATTTCAGAAAGGATGAGAAGCTCTAGTTCTGTGCTCAGACTCAGTTCTAGTCCAAAGAAGATAGCAAGCTATGCTTAAATGCTTTGAGTAAGTCTTCTACCATGAAATCCATTTGCTCCGTGCAGTAAAGGTTTCTCTAAGCTCTGTTTCTTATCCCTGTACTATAGAGGAATATTAATTACAACAGGGTCTCCTGGCCAAACTATTACAGTAAAGAGAGGCACCAGAATGTTGAACTGCTCAGCCATCCCTGAATACAAAGGCTAGAGCCACCTGGAGATGTAGGGGCAGTATGTTGTTAGAGGATGTGCACTAGTCTGGGAGTGCAGAGACCTGAGTTCTAGTGCTGGCTCTGTCACCCCCTAGATCTGGGCCTTGGTTTTCCTAAAATCAGGGGACTAGACCACATACCTTCTAAGGTCTCTCTGATCTTTTACAGTCTAGAATCTGACATTCTAAGATTCTTACTAGCTTTAACATTTGACATTTCTGCATTCTATGCTCTCAGTAGTTCTCCTTCTAGCTCTAACATTCTTTTTTTCTTTTAGTATTTTAAGGTTCTTGTCATCTCTAATATTCTATGCCCTATGTTCTAGCATTTTCTATTCCAAGATCTCTTTCAATTCTAAGATTCCATCCTGTAAAATTAGCTTCTTTGAAAAACCAGAACCAAACATTTCCTGAGGAGTAAGTAGAAGGTGTTACTTCCTTTCTTTCTCTCATCCCAAACCTTAGAGGTAAAGTGGCTTGTCCTTCTAACAAGTCTTCATCATGTATACCATCCTCAAAGCTCCAGAGCAGGTGTGATTTCAATGTTTTGGTATAAAACCAAGCTTCCCAGAGGATACCCACTGGGCAGCACCACCCCAAATCTATAGTTCTGAAATGTAAAAATAGAAAATTGACTCGCTTTGCAGAAATGGGGCCAACTAATCCAAAACACTAGGTGAATTCATTGAGACACATGCACATATATTAGAGACTGCATATTTGCATACTCCTACTTGTTTCTCCCAAATAATTTTCTATTATGATGGAGAGTGACACAAAATGGCTCTCGGTTCTTGAGGAGGCCACAGAAACCCTGAGATTTCTTTTCCTTGGACTGTCTTCTCCATAGCTATCATCCCCAGGAGTCAGTGGTCTTGACAATACGAAGTCACACCCACTGTCTTCATATGTGGTATTCCATAAAGTAAGAAGGATGGCCTTTGTCACAGAAGGTACATAGTCCATCTACTGATGAACTGAAAAAGAAGGGCTGGGGTCACAGACATAGGGCATTCACTTTTGGAAGCGTGGAACTAGGGGAAATGGGAAATAAATAGGTGAGAGCATTTAGCAAAAGAAAAACTTGGCATTCCACATTTCACCAGCAGTCACATGCTCATGGGGTGGGGAGCCCTCGTCAGCCCTGACGTTCTCTATGAGTTTCTTCTTCCATACCAAAGTGCCATCCCCTCAAGACTGAGGATGTCTGTAGTGGGCAAATTTATTGGCAGTGTTATTTCGGGGAAGGAAAGACCCATTTGGCGGCTGGGTGAGAGGGAGCCTTTCTTGGGAAGAACTGCTGTTGGGAGGCCTGCCAGAGGAGGTGCCTTTGCTACAGAGTAGACGTTTCTCATCCAGCAGGGTCAGGTGATATTCACACAGGTCGACCAAAGAGGCAACTTGCTCTTGCAGTGACGAATGCTTGAACCTTCTCTGGGCCAGGAAGAAGAATGCTTCCACAAAGGCTTGCAAACACATACCTGGGGGACAAAAAGAGTTGACATTAGGTGGAGAGAATCCAGAGCTTCCTTCCAGGCCCGGGGCTCAACATCCAAAGCTCCCATCAATCAGGAAAAAAATATTATTGCTAGTAATAATGATAATAATACTACCCTATGGTTACTTAGTGCTTTGTATGTGTTATTTTTTTTTTTTGCTGGAACTGGATGAGAGGCAGCATGATGAAAGAAAAAGAGCACGGGACTTTGAGGCTACAAGACTGAGGTACGAACTCTCAGTCTGACAATTACTAGATGAGTGGCCATGGGCAAGTCGCGTAATTTCTCGAAGTCTTGGTTTCCTCACCTGCCAAATGAGGATTTGATTCAACTCAACAAACATTTATTAAATACCTATTATGTTCAAGATTTAAAAAAATTATATAGTCTTTGTTCTTAAAGAACTTACCATCGACTGGACACAGGGAAGATGACATATACACAGATGAGTACTACCCAAGGTAGGATGTGATGGAAGCAAAGAAAACATCCAGACAAGGGGCTCAAGGAACATTGGGCAAGGGAGAGAACATGTTTAGTGGAGTGGCTTAGGGAAGATTTCATGAAGGATGTGGTGCCCAAGGTTGGCCCTGAAAGAAGTCTTCTAAAAGGTAGAGATGAGGAGGGAGTGAGCTTCAGGCTTGGGGCCTAAAGGCAGCGAGGCAGCAGAGAGTGCACTGAGTTTGAGGAAACTGCTTACAGATCTGTTTAGTGGAAATGCAGCATGTGAAGGAGAATGAGGCAAAATAAGGCTAAGGAAGAAAGGTGAAGCCAGTTGACAGAGGATATCAAATGTCCAGGTAAGGCATGGGTATCTTATCCTATTAGCAAAGGTGAGCTACAAGTTTTTGAGACCCTGAGTGACATCATCAAACCTGATCACAGGGAAGGTCATTTTGCCAGCTCTGTGAAGGACAGGCTGGAGAGAAGAGAAGGTAGAAGCACGGAGCCCAGTTAAGAAATTATTACAATAACACAATAGTTACAATAATATAATAATAAATGTTATTACAATAGTAACACAATATACAACACAGGATTGTAAAATGCTCTAGAAATGTGAGTTATTATTCATCTACACAATACTCCTATGAGCTAAGCTGATTGTTAGCCCAATTTTCCAGATTTTGACAAATTTTTACAAATTGTTTTACAGACTAGGAGAGCAATGGATTTGGAATCAAAACACTTGGGTTTGAGCCCCAGCTCTGCTGCCTAGAAGCTGTGTGCAGACCTTGGAAGTGAGGACGCTAATAATGGATACTAAGAATAACTAAAAATGAAGATACTAATAATAACTCCCATGCCTATAATGCTGTAAATGTTAGTGCTTTCCTCAAACTATCCCCATAAAATAGGTAGTGTGTTATTATCTCCTTTTTACAGGTGAGGAAATTGAGGGTCAGAAAGGTGATGTAACTTGCCCGTGGTCACATAGTTTGCATTAGACTTGAGCCTTGAACCCACCAGGTTTTTTGATTCCCAGTCTAGTACTCATTTCATGACACTGCCTACTCTCTTAAAGGCTTGTTGTGAGAAAAACCACTTAAGCTATTCATCCTAGGTTATACGGTTAGTAAATGGCAGACCTGAGATTCCAACTCAGGCTTCCTGACTCCAAGTCCAATCCAATCACACCACAAAAATGAGCCTAATAAAAGCTAAGCAATTGATGTCACTGTCAAAAACAAAGCCTTTTCTGTCTAAAATTCTCCACTGAGGCATGAAAGTCTGTTTTCTCCCAGTGAAAGTGGAAAGGAAATCTTTTCTAGGCAAGTATCAGATTTTCTCAGCCCTCTCAGAGAAAAGTGGCACCAAAGCCAGAATGGAATTTCACACAGCATTTTAGACAAGATTGGCTCATGGGGGGTGGGGAGGATAAGATGTTTCGAATCAGGGTCTTTGTTTTGGATATGTCCAGCTAGGAGAAGTCAATCATTCTACTCCTATAACCCTAGTCAGGAGTTGGCTGGCTTTGTAAATACTATATTATTTATAAACTCTGGGATCTATCTGATCAATTATTTTTTCTGCATAAACCCTCCTCTCAGCCCTTTGCGCTGAACAAACACATTGCTATTTATTTCTCTTCCCCTCCCCCCCACCCCATCCAATTCAAGTTAAGCAGAGTTTTTGTTTTACTTCACTTCAGAGCTCTCCCCCAAGTTACTTGTTCAGTTTGTAGTTTTTAGGAAAAGTTGTGAAAAAAACCAACTTCTACTAAACAAACAAACAAACAAAACCAAAACCCTCCAAACTCTGAACAGATGTAGAGAAGGAGGATGGTCTACGTGATCTATAAGGTATTCCCCAGCTCTGACATTCTCAAATTGAATTATGCTAAGACATGTCTACAAAAGCATCAGGCATCAGGGATTGAGGCAACCACCTGAACAGCATCAGGATTGGTACCTAAAAGGATCTTAAAACAGAGGATGCTATAATACAGAACACAGAATGGTAGCTCTTGGGAAAACCTTAGTATGTGGAAATGTTGGAATACATAATATAGGACATGGCATGTTAGAACTGAAACAGACTTCAGAATGCTAAAACATAGACTATAGAATGTTGGAACAGAACACAGAATGGCACAGCTAGAAGAAACCTTAGATAGTTATGCTATACCCTCACTTGGCAGATGAGGAAATTCAATCCCAGAGAGGTGAAATTATTTGCCACAGGTTTATACTACTCACGCCCCAAACCCTTCTATTGAAGGGAAAGGGCCTCTCTATAATGAGTGACTTCATTTCATCACCACCATCAACCTACCACCAACTTCCTCCCACTTGATGTACTGGAAAGACTTGGCATCTGGAGTTAAAGGACCAGGGTTCAAATCCTAGCTTACTAGCTGTGTGATTGAGGCAAGTCAGTTAATTTCTCTGGGATTTCATTTCCTCTTCTGTAAATGAGAAGGTCTAAATGACCTTAGAGGGCCTTTCTGACTCCAAGCCTATGATCATCACTGCCATAACTCACATATACAATGTGTTTTATGGTGATAAAGCACGACTAGTGCTCCCATTTACATAGTGATTTGCTCTCCACAGTAACCTTGGAAAGCAAACAGTGCAAACATTTTTAATCTTCATTTTACAAATGAGGAAACTGAGGTTCAGAAAGATTAAGGGACTTACTTGCCTAACTTGATGAGTGGAACATATGTACTTTCTGGATGTCATGCTCATTCATACAGATTTTGTCTCACCCACAATTTTCTTGTATGACCACAGTGAAAGATGGTGTTCAAAGTAATCTGAAGGGCAAGTGACTGACACATTTGATGAACAGGATAGGGTCAGTGATATGTTAGAGTATTCACAACCTGCTTCAGTGGGACAGAGCAGACTAGAAAAGAAAGAATTGGCCCCACAACTGCTGATTCTAAAAGTCTGTAAGATCTAGTTGATGAGAGATCCTCCTGGCCTCAGAGAGGTAAGTGGAAAGAAGTCTAACTCATGCCAATACGCACTGAGTCTCAGACAAGCAAATCTTTAGTTGGAAAGGGCTTGGGAAGGGAGTAGAGGTGGGGGAGAAGTAAAGAGGTAAAATGCCTTTTAAATAATCTAGGCTACAAGGTCTCTAGTAGTAGTGTGAATCACTATAGGAAAATCATTATCACAATAGGAAAAGCTCCAATTCATTTTAGATTTAAATTTCTAATGTCCCTACATCCCTAATAAACGAGAGGGTATGTGATATAGTTCCCTAGATATAGCCCCTAGTTCCAGTCCTGGCTTCACTGTTTACCAGCTTATTGACCATGGGCAAGTTAAGAGGATGACACTCAGAATCCTCAGGAGACCTTGGTTCTGGCCCCAGTTCTAACACTTGACTTGGTGTGTGATGTTGGGCAAATTACTGAACTCTACTGGGCTGAGATTTCTCCAGATGAAGAGTGAGGGGGTGCTGAATTAGACCAGGGGTGGCAAACCTGAGGCCTTGAGGCCACATGTGGTCCTCTAGGTCCTCAAGTGTGGCCCCTTGACTAAAATCCAAACTTCATAGAACAAATCCCCTTAATAAAAGGATGTGTTCTGTAAAACTTGGACTCAAAAGGTTGGACCCAAAGACCTACAAGGCCACGTGTGGGGTTTTTGAGGCTGCAGGTTCCCCACCCCTGAACTAGATAATCTCTAAGGTCCAGGACTTGTATGATTATGAGGAGTTTCAACCACCCCACCCAACTCAAGGCTGTGTCTTGATGATGAAATGAGAAAATAGACAAAGCACTTTGTAAACAAAAAAGCACCTGAGGGGAGCTATGATAAGGAGGATGATCTTCATAATAACAGCTTTAAGATTTACAAAGAGATTCCTCTTAACAACCTAGGCAGGTGATAGAATTATTTTCTAGGTGAGGAAGCTAAAAGCTCAGAGAGGTTAAGTGAGTTGTTCATTATTACACAGCTAGCAAGTAGAAGAGCCTGGAGGCAAATCCAGGACTCCTGACTGTGGGTTCACTTTGTACTCTGTCACATAATCTGTTTTGTCATTTGCTTAGTTTAATGTCTTAATAGATTCTAACCATAAATATTATTATATATGTCTGTGTCGATATCGATAAATCTAGGACCCTGTGACCATAGGTTTTCCCTTTTTTGTCTCCTCTCATAATAGTCTAATTTCCACAGAGGCCCTAATCTCTGGCATGGGGGAGGAACACAGCATCTCCTCCATTTTTGGCAAGTCCTGTTGCCCAGGGCAAGGACATGACTCTAGTATGAGGGGCTTTTTTCCTTTTCTTCTCTTCCTGCCAGCAACAGTCCAGTACTGAGAGCTTTGGGAACTGATCACGGTGATAGGAGTCCAAGGTCAGTCAAGGTGAAGCCTGAGCCTGCACAACAAGTCAACGTACATACGGACATCAGAATCCTCTAGTGTCACAAGAAAAACATGTTTGGAGCAGAAAAAATGATGCAGAAGAGTCGGATTAGAGACATAACTTGGAATCCTGGTATTAGGGGTGAAATCAA